GGTGCTGTCACCGGCTTGCAGAGGTCTTGAGGCTGTGTTGTCGGGAAGCAGCACAGGGCTGACATAGTGTGTTTTAAATGTATTTGGTTCAATTCATTGCTTTAATCTCAGAAGGCTATTACAGATCTCTCTCAGAGTTAAGAGTGTACATGAAACTCTTTTTCTCCTCTTCCCTCCCTGAATTCTTTGGTCCAGCCTGGACTATGATACCTGAAGTGAAGGAAACACCAGCAGTCATCTGAAAACATGTCACTTCCACCACCATAACCCTAGTTCTCCAAACAGCTTGAGTTCTTTTGGCCTACTACGCACGCGTGTGTGTGCGCGCGTGCGCGCGCACACACACACACACACACACTCTTACTCACTCACTGGGTGGAAACCTATAGGTTTGGGCACAGAAAGCACATCGAGAAAGCAGTACTTGGAGTCCTTGCCCCTGCCTGGAGGAGGCCTTCATAAAAGAGTTGTTTCTGTCCCCCCTGTAGACAGTTGTGCAGGGGGGCCTAATGGGATCCTTCTGTAATTCCCTGTGTACAGGAGTGGATCATATACATCAGTCAGCTCAGCCCTTACATTCAGGGACTGAGGGAATCTCTCATTGTCCTCTGTACCCTGACCCTCAGCTGACGCTTAGCTGTGGCGCTCAGTTTCTCTCATTCACAGGAAGGCCAGTGCTGTCTTCCAGTCAAGTTCTCTCTCCAATAAACCACTCTGCTTAGGGCTCACCCTTGTGTGATAAAACTGTGGCGGGCCTAATAATAGAAACCACAAATCCTGCCTGCCAATCCTGCATTCTAACCTCTAATCCACTTGTAGCAAGGGCAAATGTTTTCAGGAAAATAAAATGACACTGCATAGAACACAGGGACACAACTGTTCCTATTGTCAGATCTTCCACTCAAAAGCCTAGAAATAAGGGGCTGGATTCCACCCTCCACTCCTTGGTCACCTAGAGGAAGTTTCAGCCTTCCTCTAATTTCTAATACATCCTGATTTAGGAAAGCCACAGAAAAAATGAAAAGGGAACACAGGCAGGAGGGGGAAAGAGGCATGAGACATTTCATCATTGTTACAACTCAGTCAATGACAGGAATTTGTCTTTTGTGTTTCAGGACAAGTCAAAGAGCCTAATAGAAGTTCAGTATTAGATTAATAGGACTCTCACATTTGTCAAATGGAAAGTTGGCTGAGTGGGTGAATTCCCTAATTGAGTGAGTGGATTTGAGGACCTGAGGCAGCCTGCTCGGTGGAAAGTGTCCTCACAAAACCTAAGGGTGAGCCCCAGCTCGCCTCTCCTGTCTGGTTCAAAGGGACAAACTATTTCATCTCCCAAGCCTTGAAACTCTTATCTCTAAAACAGCATTGAAAGTAACAGCCTTATGTGCAGCACAGGGCTGTTTTGAGGCTCAGTGACAGAGTGTATGGGAAATACTGTATAAACTGTAAATCTATCTATAACTATGAGGAATTATTATCACTGGACACAAATCCATTTATTGTTTCTGATTGGCTGTACACATAATTCAAATTCCGCAGAATATAGCTCAGCCTTCATTTCTAGCTGTGTGGTATGCAGCTTCTAAACAGTTCTACTGAAATCTTGCCTCTTAACCTTTAATCCTGAGGGCCTACAAAGAGCTCTGGCCCTCAGTTAACTGTTACATCTCCAGCCTGCTGCAGGGCAGGGATTCCTGATTTGATCTGCGTGTTAACCGGCTCAGCCCTTCTGTGGCTTGGCCAGCGAGGTGCTTGCACAAAGACACAAACCAGAGTAGAATTATACACGAACTTTGGCGTGAGATGAGTTCTGGGAGGAATCTGATTTAGCAAATGAGATGTGTAAACAGGACTCAGGAAGCTGTTGGCTGCAGTCTTCTCTTAGGAGGCTTAAACTACCTCAGTTTTGAAGCCCCTTGTTTGCTTTGCTGTGTGGTGAATGCCAGTGAACTAACAATGTATATTGAGACTTCTCAGCTAGAAATGTGATAAAATTTAAAATACTATTCTCGTTTAGTATAATTTTGGAATTTTCATGGCATTAATGAAACTAATGAGAAACAACCTTATGCTGTCGGGGAGGGAGGGTGAGGATAATTTCAGCCCAAGTTTTGGAGCAGTTCAGTTGTCTCTAAATGCATGACAATAGATTTATTATTGAAGAAATAAAGAGGTCAGGCAAAATCTGCAATTGATTAAACGTAAATGAAGGCAGCCATTTACCTTTTTTTTTTAACAGATAACAATTTAGTAGTTTCTTGTGTATCTTTCTAGTATTTTTCTACACATATAAGCAAAATAAATACATATTCATATTTCCCCCCATACTTCACGAAAGGGAAGTCATCCAGTCTTTTATGTCAGAAAACTCATAGCCCATGTTTAAATAAAAATAATAAAACACAGCTAGAAGAGGGTGGATGTTTCAAGCCTCGACTTTGGCTAGTTTTAACTTCTGAATGTGAGTGTCATTGTGGTTACAAATACATGGCTTGCTATGGTAGTTGCTAGTCAGTTTTTCCTTGGTTCCCAGAGGCTGCCAATAATACACATTTACCTTCACTCTAGTCTGCAGTGAAAATAAAATCAGAAGAGAAAGAAGAAGATATGAAGTGGAACAATGTGGTTGGGAAATTCCCTTACCTTTACCCTTGAAAAAACAAAGAAAAAAAAAAAAGAAAAACTCTCTTATAAGTAAGGCCAAAGAGAATATTAAATACATACAGTATGAGTCAAGGAAAATTGTGTTAATGTTTATTCATCGAAGTGGATCATTGGTCTTGGCTGCATATGTGAAATGTAAGGGTGGCAGTCTGGGCTCGCTGTCAGGGCATTTGTATCAAACCACAAGTGTCTGGGTTCTTATTGCTTAAGTGCCTTGTTTCTAGGGTGTTTTGTTTCTGGTGGTGGCTGTTGTTGTTTTTCCTTCTTGTATTTGGCCCTTGAGTATCCAAAGAATGATTTGTTAACAAGAAATAAGACTAGCCAACAAATGAAGAAAAATTAGAGAATTCCTCCATGATTTAAGACAAGATTTAAGTTTCTTTTTAGTCTTTTGTTTTTCTAAGCAGATTTAATTTAGAAGTATGAATCAAGAAAAATTACAACATCATGCTCTGGCTAGCTTTGCCTCAGATAATGGCTTGTGTGACCAATGGAAGTCTTGGGGGAAGGGAAATTCAAAGAGCAATGAGGAACTTCTCTGTCATCTCAGGGTTTCACAATATACACAGGAAACATTTGTAGCTGGCCCTCCGTTAGCCCAAAAGATTAGCTAATCCCTCATTTCACCATAAAATGTATTTTCAGGGTCCTGAACTGCATGCAAAGACTCAATGTGGCAGGTTCACAGTCCTCCTGGATTACGGCTGAGAGATGCTTTACACCGTTCATGCAGACTTGGGCGGTCAGCAAACTGGGATAGTTCCTGGGGATGTGCTGGGTTCGCCTGAGCCTCTCCGTAGCCCACCAGTGGAGCAAGACGATGCCCATATCCAGCCTGCCCTGTGAATTCTGCAGCAGTGTTCTTAACAGTAGTATCAGATTCCTGAAGCCCAGAGATGGATTAATTGTCCAGGTGCTTCAGCCAAATTCTGACTCAAATTGATACATCCTGTCGATACAACCTTTCACCCCTGTATAGTGGAACTGTGACCTCCTGGTGTTCACACAGGAAAGACAAGCAGCTACATTTTACCATGGTGGTTTCAAAATACCTTTACCATCAGTCTGCAGCCTCTTCACCACTTGTGACTTGCCCACCAGCTCTTTCTTCTCTGGACATAGTCATTTATTTCAAAAATACCTGGTGGAATTTTGAAATTATAATTATTTTAATTTGTATAGAGAATTCATCACAGATTTATTGTGCTAGAGGAGGCTTTAGAGATTATCTTGTCCTATGGCCCAATGCCTTTTATTTTACAGATAAAGATATGAGAAGCCCAGAGAGGTTAAGTGCCTTGCTCAAGGCCACTCAGCAGGTTAGCCCGGGTAGATCCTCTGTGTGAGCACAGGGTAAATTTCTAAATTGTCCCCACAGGTTCCATGTTTTCACAGCTCCTCATTAAGCAAAGGCCCTAAGACAGCAGTTTTGTCACACATTCGAGTTAGCGCTTTTCACTTCTAAGACGTTGTGGGGATACCAGCGAGAATGCCATTGGCCTGAGATCAGCTTGGAGGGTCAGCTGCTCCCAGCATTTCCTGTGCACTGAGGCAGTGTGACAGCTGGGGGGTATCTATCACATTTGTCTTTCTGAAAAAAAAAAACAAACCCATAACTAAGCTGGAATTTAGCATAGATTCCAAATCACAAATATGACCAAATTCATGTGCTTTACCCATCTTGTACCACAAGGTTCTCTCTCTATATATGTAAAATACAAAAATATAAAACAAACAATAGGAATGATTAGGGTGAAGGGAAAATTGTTTTTGATAGGAAATTGATAAAGATAGGCAAAATTTGTACATAGAAATAAATAGTATAAAGTCCCTGTTCTGTTTCTGGAGAAGGATGTCTGCTTTGACCCTGAGTTGCTTAGTGGCCTTAGCAAAGTGGGACAGATGATCTGTTATAAGATTCAGAATATTTGTAACATTAAAAAAATTGAGAGAAGCATAGTTTTTACTCATAAAGATGGGAGAGAAGTTCTTCCCTTAATACCATCCTCTCAGTAGATATAACAGTGGATTTCTTACAGCTGTGTCTCATTATTTTCCTCATTGCAAGCCAAAGGCACAACAACTCACGCAAATTAGAAAACATGTTTCCAGGATATTGAGTGTGGGAGCAAAACAACGGCTCTAAGTACACACTGAGATGTTTGGAAATCAGTGGATTATATGTCCTTCAGGAAAATTTCTGTAGCTACTATTCTTTAAAACTTTTTTAGAATAATTATTGGGCAGCAGAGAGAGAAGGAATTTAATAGAGAGTCCAGTGAAGATAGCGTTTCTGGAAGCAAAGGCTAGTTGTAGTCCCTGTATAGTCAGGCCATTCAAGATGGCTGTCCCCTTGCTCTCTGTACATCCCCTGCTCAGCCAGTCCCTGCTTCACTCACATGAGTATCCAGTGCTCTTAATAATAGGGCTTACTCAGTAACTGCCTGTGTGCTTGCCCCTCCCCCAGCCACTGGTTTCCCTGGTAACTGATGAGCCCACCTGATGTCAGTTCCCCCATAAATGGTAGCCTCCTTCTGCCCTGAGTCATGAAGACTGCTGCCATGTCCTGCCTGCTGTCAGCGGTCCGTGGTGGGGGTGTCCCAGCAGGACCTTCTGCTTGAGGTGTGTAAGATCCCCTGTCCAATAAACCATTGATGTCTCTGTCACTGTCTCCGGGTTCCTTCTTCAGTCTTGAAGCTGGGCAACTACAAGGCTTGCAAGCCTGTGGGGTACAGCCCAACAGTTCCCAGTATCCATGTTCCCTGCTTCTTTGGGGGCCACAGCCAGACTACATTTCTCAGTCACCTTTGCAGTAGATGTGACCATATTGTGACTTAACTTTCCTGGCCTACCCTTGCTCCATTCTCTTTCTTTTCTTATAAACCTTTTGAACCCAAGAATCTCCAGGAGGCCAGAGCTACAGGGTGGAAGGAGCCTAGGCCCCTGAATGACTATGAAGAGCAGTCTACCACTAGTCTACAGTAGACTCTGACATGAGCAGGAAGTACATTTTTATTGTATTTTTTGAGTCTACAGTAGACTCTGACATGAGCAGGAAATACATTTTTAATGTATTTTTTGTTCTTTTGTTTCAGCAGCTAGTATTATATTAAATAATATAATCTCTAAACCTTTCAAATTGTAGGTCACATTGATGAGGCATATATCTTAAATAGCTACATAATCCAGTCACTCCTCTTTACATTGAAAAAACAACCACCCAAATGACTATTTTTCCAAGGCCTTGTCATTTGACTTCCGTTTGTCTCTAGGAAACTGATTAGTTACTGGAGTCAGACTGCCTGGGCTTGAGCCTTAACTTTGCCATCTGTGTGCCCTGGGCACGTTACGTTACTTACTTCTCTAAGCCCCAGATCCCCCACCTATAAAATGGGGGTAATAATCAGACCTGCTCTCCGAGTTGCAGAGGGCAGAAAGTGCTCAGCGGGGACTTGGCATCTAGCAAACACATGATGAATATCAGCTAGTGATGTTGCTGTGCTTTGGAAATGTGTGCTCGCTGGTTGGCTTCCATGAGGAAGGCCCAAGACAGGAGAAGCTGAGTCTGTGCAAAGCTGGCTAAGTTTCTAGCAGAAAAGCAGCTCAGAGTACCCAGGCTCTCCTCCTCCCCACCTCTCTTTCCCGTCCCCAGCCCCTGCTTTGTCAAGCCAAGCAATAGACTCTGAACCAGGCTGCCACCATCTGAGACCTGCACAATCCATCTGAAATCTTGGAACACCTGTCATATGCCTTCTGGAAAAAGAGGATGAAATAACAACAATAATTCTTGATAATCAGTACAGGATTTAAAGTGTAGATTCCTTTTTTTCCCCTACTCAGAAAGTCTGCAATGATTCTATCAGATAATTTTTGATATTGGAAAAGTCTTTTTGTTTGTTTTTGATTTTTTTTGAGGGCAGGAGTAATTAGGTTTATTTATTGATGTTGGAAAAGTTTTAAAATATTCTATGATAAAGCATGAAAAGATCATTTCACAAAGACAGATATTTTTGTATCAGAACGGGATATAACTCAATTTCTGCACTAGGTAAATCTTTCTTGAGATAGTGTCTTTTTTCCTTGCCCTTGACTGGAAATACAAACATAGCTAGTCTTGGCTAATAATAACATCTCGATGTGTACAGACCTGGCCTTCCTCAACAGCTTGCTGAGTTATTTGTGTCAGAAAGGATTTTATCTTAAGTACATTTCTTCTATCACATGATGCACCACTGAATTTCCCATCACACAAACATTCTAATCTCATTTACAGTCACAGAGGTTGAAAATAGATAATTAATCAGCATTTAAGTGCCTTACAATCTGTAAAGTAAACCAGATATGGCTAGACTGGAAGCCATGTGGAGCATTGCAGGGGCTCCGAATGGGGTGGGGTGGGGGTGGTGGGGAGTCAGCTGTTAATGAGTCCTCTGACTTACTGTGGATCCTTGATTTCTCTGTCACCCAGAGAAACTGAGTTTGTTTCTCCCAGTGTCTCTCTAATCCTTATGCAGTTGGTTGAGCATCATAGTTGTATTTCAGCTTAATTTACAATATTGTCTTTATTCATGATTCAAGACAGACCAGGGCCACGTATAGGATTGTGGCAGCTTTTTCTGAACCTAGGAAATATGTGTTGGGAGGCCTGCCAGGGTCCTTGTTCTTAATCTTCTTTCATTGTACCAAACACTCCAGAGCGACAAGTTACACAGGAGTTGGGCTGGACTACTTTCCTCCTGTTCCTTCCTCCCTTCTTCCCTCTCTCTTGCTCTTGCTCGCTCACTTACTCTTGATCTCTCTTTCTTTCTTCATGCCTTCATTCATTTTTACGTTTAATTCCCGTAGCACTAAATGAAACTTCTTTTCTGAGAATACCTATTAGACAAGCAGCAAACTGACCAAGCAACTAAATACAACTTTAAGACTTGACTTTGAGCTTTCTCACTAGTTCTTTAAATCTATTTAGAATCCATTTAGTTCATCTGACTGGTTGACAGTTGACTCATTAAAAGTTATTCTTTGTCATAGGATTCCCCTTTATTCATCAAGCAATCTGTGAGTGTAATTGGAAACAAAGAGGCACTTGGGAATGAATTTAGAGAACCTGAGGTATTTTACATTTGCAGGATGCTGACAAACAGAAAAATGCAAACTGAAGAAGAATGGGGTGATTTAGAAAGATGAAGTTCTTTGACTCGAAGATGAGGCTTTACCAAGGAAAGTGGAAGAGCGGAGTTGTGTTTCCTGTTTGAGAACTGGCTGAACCTACGTGCCATCTGAGAAAGTGTTTCATAACAGGAGAAACACTGTTGTGCAGGCGAGATCCAGCCTGACCCTATAGTATGTGATACCCCCGACTTAAACCGATGTCTACACAAACCTCAGCTATAACTTTGCTTCCAGCCTGTTTGATTCCTGTAGTGGTGCTCAGTGTGATATGCCATTGCTAATTGTATTATTTTGGAGAACATGAAGTGAGCTGATGGCCCAGTGCTAACTAAAGCTGCACTCCTGCATTCAGGCCCGTGGACTGTGGGAAGTGCTTGTGTGCAGGGGTCTGAATGTGCCTGTCCTCTAGGTGTTGGTACTGCTGCTGTCACTGCTGTTGTCCTTTCTGTTTAGCCATCAATGGTGGCAGAGGTCATTGGATAGGCCTTGGCCAGTTTTCTAGGGCTGCTGCTTTGCCCAGTGACCGTATCTTTCCTGTTAGCATGCTGATCATACTTGGAAATTATGAGTCAGTGAAATGTAGCCGTGAGCAGTGGGGATGGGTAGATTACCAGGCAAAGTGCAGCCAAAACTTCCTGTCCCAACTCAGGGTCATTATCTTTGGGGGAAGATAGGGACTCACTCTGGCAACAGAAACACCCACATTCACCTGGCATTTGCTGTGTACAGAAGGGATTTAGGGAGAGTACAGGGGCACAAATAAGAAAAGAAACAATCAAAGCTTCTTTTGCAGACATCAGGGTGGAGCTTTGAGAGCCTGTTAGAATATCGCTGTTATTGACACCTTCCACTTGCCCGTTAGTTGGGGAGACTCATTGACTATTCACATTTGTCTGCCCTCATTCAACTCCTAGCAACTGCAGTTACAGTCTTTTTTAAAATAATAGACTGAGATTGGTAACATTACTGATTTAACAGGAAATTAGAAGACTTACATTCACAGAGCTTAGGTAATTGACACCAACAGCACTTTTCTTGTAATTTATGCACTCTGATTGATTTCATTCTCCAGCTAGTCCTAAAAGAATCTCTGAAGCATATTCAGCCATCAGATTACTGTGCAAAGGAATTAAATGAGTATTATCCTGCTCGCTATCTATTCCAGAGCTGGCAAAAAGTTTCCAAGTCATTTGGAGCTCAGGAGTCAGTCTAAAATTATAATGCTAATATAAAAGAGGTCAGCCTCAGAGCATTTCTTTGTGACAGCTGTGAATTTATATGAGGAAATCTTACTGATAACCAGGGCAGAATTACGAAGGGGTCATTTATTTGTGCTTTTAAGAGTATTTTGTAATAAACTTATGTAAATATGTATTCCCTGGAATATCCTAAAAAAAACATTTGCTTACCTCTAATAGTGCTGTTATGAATGACCCATTTCCAGATGCTCATTCAGGGTGGTGTTTACATCGTAATAGACGACTGTGCTTTATCCTACCCCCCGCATATAATTAACAATGCTGAGTCCAGGACATTTGATACATGAGGAAGAAACACTAAATCCATGTGTTCTGCCCTAGAAATCTCATGAAACAATGGCAAAGAAAGGCAATAGAGTTACAGTGTTCAAATAAATCATTATTATTATTTTTGGCTAGTTATTTTGCAGAGTGGGCATGTCTGGGATCTACCTGCCTATTTCTCTAGATTCGTACAGCATCGTGTTCCCTCATACTTTTATTCAGTCACGTGGAACGGTCCAGAATCCTTCATGCTCATCACCTGTTTTATGCACCTGGGCTGCTGCGCTGGCTCGTCTCCCTGGCCTGTCCTCCTCCTGCTTCTCTGCCTCATAATGACGCTCGTCCTTCAAAACTCATTTCAAAGGTCACTGCCTCCAAAATCTCTCTGTAATTCCACAGTCTCTTTCAAGTCTTCCTCCTCTGTGTTCCCTTGGCAGTCTGTGATGAGCCCATCCTAACCTTTGTCACACAGCATTATTAATGTGATTCATGCGTTTATCACTCCATCAGACTGTAAGTTCCTTGAGGGCAGAGATCACGAGTTAATTACCCATGAATTGCAGCAGCCATAATAATACTTGACACAGAATGGTGGTTGATAAATGCGTCCCACATGATTTGTGAGTGTAGAATGCAGCTCTTTGAAAAGCCAAGTTTATGTGCTGCTGCAAGTTTTGAGTTAAACCTAAAATTCAGTCCTAAACATTTTTGTCACACACACGCATGCACCCAAGTGATTACAGATAAGCCTGCAGTTTCATTAGTGACCATATCTACACTGTCAAACTGGTTAAAATTCTCTAAGAAATTTTACCTCGGTGTGCTCAGTGCATCCCAGGTAAAAGCTTAGTCATAGAGTTCTTGGATTTCCAAAAGTACAGAGACCCTAGAAATACCCTGGGCTCAAGATTTTTCATTATAAAGACCAGGGAACAAGGTGGCCTGAAGGTCTAGCAATGTCTGAAGTTTGGAATGAGCACCCTCAATACCACTGGCACAAGGATAGGCTCAATACCAGTCACCCATTCTCATTCTCATCCCTTGCTGCCTGTCGAGGCTAGAAAGCTAACAACTACATTTCTCAGAGTCTAGGGTTCCACCAATCAGATAAACTCAGACTTGACTTTAGAGGTGAGAGATGCAGGTTTGTGGTGGAGGTGACCTGGTTCTGGAGCCAGTGGCTGAGCTCTGGCCTCCTGATCTGGCAGGACATCTCCTGGTTCAGCAGCTTCTGCACCAATGGAAACAGACTTCCTCCCGTGTGGCAGAAGCAGTTGGTTCTAGGGTCTGGGAGTTGTGCTGGAGACATCAGCCTAGAGCAGTGTTTTCCACACCATAGGTAATAAAATCTATTTAGTGCTGTAGGCTAGCATTAAAAAAGGGAAGGAGAAGGAAGGAAGGAAGAAAGAAAAGAAAATAGAATAAAAGAAAATGAAATAGAAAAAAAATCTGAATACATTCTCCCTAGTCAAAGTTTGTTTGTTTTATGTAACTAGTATTTCAGTTTCCTATGTGTGTGCATGCATTTACGTATATGTATTCTGAGTCACAATGTAAAATACATTTCTAGCTATAAGTTTTAGGCACCAAAGTTCAAGAACATCTGGCCTAAAGCCTTACCTCCAGTGTTTTCAATAGTCTTCTTAATCCTTTCCTTTTAAAACTACCCAGAGGGGTCTTTCTTATTGATGGAACATCTGTTCTGCTGCCCATCAGACAGCATAAAGGTATATAGATTTTCTTTTCTTTTTTTTAAAACTGTTTATTTGCAGACAGAGATATATGGTATATAATTCAACTGACACCTTTTTCCTATATGTTTTTAGGGATGCCCCAAAAGCTTCTTTAATAAGGACAAGATAAAAGTGTAAGATATGTGTGTATGTTTGGGGGTTCTGACTTTTTCTAGTTTCACAGAATGTTCTGGGGACCATAGGGGGAAATTTGTGCCTGAGCCATCCTAAGAAACTCCCTGAGAACTCTTCCTTCCTCTCCGGACCCTCCGTGGTGAGAGGGATCTGGGGCTCGGCCTGAGGAGACGAATAGGTACCCACATGCTTCTAGGACCCTGGGTGTCCCTGTACACAGCCCAGAAGGAGATATGCCCAGAAATGGCCTGGACTGACCCAGGGTAACCATCAGGGTAGTTAGTAATAGGTGTTGGGTGAAGTGGCTGTGCTAAATATTTTTAATATGATAAAGAAGCAGAATAAAGATATGTCAGCCATCTGTGGAAAAGTAAAATCCTGTGAAGATCGAGATAGGAGCAGATTTAAACCCTCTTAATTGCTGCTCTGGGTAAAGAGTCATCTGACAACCCAGGGTCAAAAAATTAGGTACCCCAACTATTCTTCTGATTCTTCTTCATGAACTAAATGCTTCCTTTAGGCAAGTCCTCTGCTCAGAGGCCGTTCTGACCAGGGAGCTTGGCTGTCCCCATGAGGGGAACAGGATAGCTGGTAGACAGAGGTAGAAGAGAGACTTTTCTCTCTGTCCTTTCACGCTGTTTGTATTTAATACCATTTACAAATAATACCTATTTAAAATCAAATTAAATAGCCCCAACACTTACTCCCAATCCGTATTTTCAGTTGATGACCTTGTCTTTAACTTCAGGGAGAAAACTGAACAATCAAAAGACTTTCCTCAGATTCCCATAGTCAACCAGTGCCTACAGTGATGCCTGAAATATGGTAGCCGATGACCAAAGGCTTTCTGCAGCTTCCCAGGGTTCTGCCCAAAGCCTGTCTTGGAAGTCTTCCCCGAGTAGTCTCCACATGCTCTCCTGAGCACATGCTGTCCATCTCTACGGCTGGATGGCTGGATGGAGACACCCTCCCCTATTCCAGCTGTCTGCATCCTAACTGCATTCTTTTTCTTTTTAATGGAGGTACTGGGAATTGAACCCAGGGCCTTGTGCATGCTAAGTGCTTGCTCTACCACTGAGCTAGCTTTTCCCTCCCTGCAACCCACATTCTTTAATACAGCTCCTTTCTCACCTCTCCATTAAGCCTTTTCTACTCTATCCTTTCTGACTCCTCAATCATTTCTTCCCCTCTTACCACCTAGATCTTATTTAGGACTGGTAATGACCTCAGTCAAATAAATGGGGGTTGGAATTTTGCTTCATAGCAGGATGCAGTTCAACTCTCACACAGTGCCCTACACGCAACAGACGCTCAATAATCACCTTTTCACTGACTGAGGACATCTTTATAAATTCATGTAAAATTCAGCGACTGGAAATTCGAGGGAGAAGTTGGGCCTAAGTTCCCCCTCCTCCAGCCACCCTCATGGAAATCTGAATTTCTTAAGTGAAATTTAAGAGAGCCTCAGGCTCACTCTTCTTATTTCTGCCAAGTGTTAATTATGTGTGGAGTCTAAGGGGACCTCCACGCATGGATTATGTGGGATATGAGTAAGGTACATTTACAATGACAGCTGCGCAGCAGGAAGACATTTCTTCCCCAACTGTCAAAGTCCTACAGTTCTCTAAGTTGCTTTGGGGGGAGACATCTTTTCTCTCATATGTTTCATATGTGCTTATTGAAAAAGGGGAGAATATTTCCAAGAAAAACACTTGATCTAATTAGCTCCTTGCATATCAGGAATCAAAAAAGTACTGGAAAATTCGTAATCATTTTCTCTGAACTACGACTGCTCAGATAGTCTAGATTCTGACATCATTATCTAGATCTTCACCTAGCAAAAACCAACCACTGAGTGTGTAAGATTATCTCATTCCAAAATATTCCTAAAAATATTGATTATTTAAAAACAAAACAAAGCAAAACCTAACATGGAGTGACCATGAAGCAAGAGGACAAACCAGACAGACGATTGTCCTGTGTAGTCACTTGGGAGACTACTTTCTCCAACGCAAATGTTTATTCCAACTTTGCTGTCATTGCTCAAAAAAAAAAAAAAAAACGACACCAGTTTGCCTTTGAAGCCACTTTTCTAGTGATATAAGGAAACTCACTCATCCTTTTATAGTCAGACCTCATTTTTTAACTCTTAATCGGAATTATATTAAGCTTGATCATGTACCTCATTCAACAGATTTGACACCAGATGATTTGGGCTGTTTCCCCCAAATCAAACCAAACAATGTTAGTTCTAACATTAAAATTACATCGGAAAAGCAAGTGATAACAGGCCCTGGAGGCAATTTCAAAAGAAGAACAACAGAAGACCTTTGAGTCATGGGATGAGTGAATTGTTGCCTGGTTTAGCTTTTTTGATTGGTACAACACTCATTTTGATATGCCAGAGTTCATATATTTCTTTAAAATCAGTCTTCTCACCTTATATTCATATCTGATATTTGAAAACTCACTTTGAACTGAGAATATGGTCTTAGTGGATGACGACTCTCGGCAATTTCCTAAAATTTTGGGGAGAAATTACATGCTACCAAGTTGAGAGAAAGATGAGTAGCAGGGAAAACATCATTAAAAGTGCCAGATATGGGAAGTATTGGTACCATATAGACCTAGATTCAACCCCTGCTTTACTGGAACATGTTTGCTGCTCTGGGCTTGTTATTTAACCTTACTAAGATTCTGTTTCCTGGTCTATATGACAGTGATCTATTAAATGGGCACTTATATAAATCATTTGGTACAGAGCCTGGCAAATATTTGATTATTAGGCCCTCAAAAATTGTTTTCCTTCGTTTCTTGGGAGAATGAAGTATAATTTAGTAGAAAGAAGATACTCTAGGATTTACTAGTCCCAAGTCAGCTTATCAGCTTATCAACCTTGACCAAAGTTCTGGGGGAGCATTTTTCATATTACCTTTGTAAAATTATGATATTATCGACTGTGCTGGTTAATTTTATGTGTTAACTTGGCTGGGTCATGGTGCCCAGGTATTTGATCAAATATTATTCTGGCTATTTCTATGAGGGTGTATTTAGATGAACTGACATTTAAATTGGTGGACTCTGAGTAAAGCAGACTGCACCCCCCATGAATGGAGGTAGGCCTCATCCTATCAGTTGAAGCCCTGAGTGGGAAAAAAGATAGACTTCCTCTAAGCGAGAAGAATTCTGCTAGCAAATGACCTTTGGACTTGAACAGCAAGCCCTGTCTCCAGGCTCACAGCCCACCCTGTAGATTTTGTACTTGCCAGCCTTTACAATTGCATGAGCCAGTTTGCTGAATGAAATCTCTCTCTCCATATCCACATATCCTGTTGGTTCTGTTCCTTTGGAGAACTCTGACTGATACGTCTACCTCAAAGTTTGTTTTTTTTTTTTTTGCCATAGGGAAGAATAAAGGAAGTCATGTGAGGAACCCTGCCTACCGTAGGTTTGGATCATGGCATATGCTTAGAAAGCACTACTTTTCTTTCCTTTTCTTCCTTCCTTTTGCTTGTTAAGCCTTAGTTTTCTCACCTGGAAAATGAAGAAGTTAGACTCTAGATAATTTCTAAAGCTGCTTCCAGCTGTGAAAGTGTGTGTATCTATATGAAACTCCTTGCCTGGGCCATAACATTCAAATATAGTCTTGGCCAAACTGGGTTTCAGCCAAGGGAGAAAGGCATGTGGGGTGTACATAGACTACTTACGGTTTTTACAAACCCTTTCAGGGGTGTGCAAAGAGTTTGGGGGACTCATGGGGAACTCCTGGTAGCCCTATAAATATGCTTACAAGCCTGAATGCTTTTCTCGGTGGTTGGGGGAAGCTAAGTGTGATCTCTTACTCTGGGCAGAAGTAACTGGGGAAAGTACCTACTTTACCTGTAGTGCCTTCATGTGTATCTCTGTGCACATACTCAAGGGACTAAACTGCAGAGAGGAGAGTCATTTGATGGATTCTAAAGAACCTATGGGATCAGGTTGAACAACAGCACTAACCTGCAATCTTTGAACATTTCAGGTCCAATATGATATTCATTAGAAGGAGAAAAGGAGTGCCCCAGATTATGTTTTAACTATGCTCTTAGCAATTCACCAGAAAAGTTCCCTAGTGAATTTCAGGACATAAGTGTTATTGCCTTTCTTAACCAGTGAAGTGGCTAGATACTTAAACATACTGGCTAGAGTACTTTGGGTCTTTGAGTCTTTAGATGAAATAGTTGGAAGAACCCTTTGTAAGCTCTATGGCGCTATGTAAGGGTAAGTGATTATTATTCTTACAATACATACTCCAAGTGGTACTGTAGTTTGAGGCTCAGGTGAAAGAAGTCTGGCTAAGAGCACCTCCTTCCCAGCATTTGAGTTCCATGTATTCTTTCTGGCACACGTGGGGAGCCCTTGTCAGCCAGGCCAATGAGCAAAGTTAGCAACTGCTCACACAGCTTGAATTCAGAGGTTCAGACGAGGCTTCTTGCTCATCAGTCCAACTGCCCACAGCCTGCCACCTGGGCTCTGGGCCACCGGGCTCTACCATACTGTACTTCACGATGTGTCCAGAGCCACTGTAAGTACATTCACTGTCATGAGAGCTTAAAAGGTTCATTGCTACTCCATTGCGTGGAAGATAAAATCCAGACAACTTTGCATAGCATCTGAGGCCTTTGAAAAATACGGCTTCTACTTATTTCTCCAGTTCTATCACTGCTGTGATTGTCTCCCAGTCTTCCACAGCACAATTCTAGGCTCCAGTCTATAAACTTTCGTTCTCAAATTCCATATTTATTCATCAAATATTTAATGTATTCCTACTAATGAGTGTCAGGTACTGTTCTCAGTGCTGGGGATAGACCAGTAAATAAAACAGAGCCTACATTATAGGGGGAGACATGATAAACATTATGTAGCAAGTTAGAAAGTGATGAAAACTATGGGAAAACTAGAGCAAGACAAGGAGCTTTAGTTGTGCTGGGAACGGGAATGGTGGCTGCATTTTATATGGATTGATGGGGTAAGCCTCCCTGAGAGAGTAAGGGGGTGTTTCAGTTATGAGCATGATTGTAACAATAGCTGACTGATACTGGAGCAAGCCATGCAAATATCTTGGAAACTAGCCTTCCAGGCAGAGGCAGTGCCTCTCTCAAAGTCCTGACATAGGGAATGGCTGCTGTGTTGGAGAAACAGTGGAGAGGCTGGTGTTCTGGAATGCAATGAGAAAGCAAGAGAGTAGGAGGAAATTGGGAGGGGTGGGGTGGTGGGACCAGATAGAGTAAGGTCTTAAATGCCACTGTAAGGACTTGCACTTCGACTCTGAGTGAAACAGAAAGCCATGGGACGGTGTGTGCAGGAGAGTGACATGATCTGACGTATTTTCAAAGGACCCCTCTGGCTGCTGTGCTGTGAACAGATTGAAGCGCAGGAGTGGGGAGACCAGCTGGGAAGCTGTTGCAATAATCAGGTGAGAGAGGATTATGGTTTAGACCAAGGTAGCAGCAGTGGTTGTGGTAAGAGGGAATCAGATTAGGGATCGAATTTAAAAGTGGAACCTACAGGATTTGGATTTGGAGTGCTCCAACATTCAGGGGACAGAAGATGGGTAGAGTGGAGGAATCAGCAAGAAGATTGGGATGGTGCAGTCAGTAAGCAAGGAGAAAAAACAGTAGAGGGTAGTGTCTCAGATGCCAAGTGAAGAAAGTGTTTCTAGAAAGAACCAGTGATCACTTATGTCAGATGCTGCTGATAAGTTCACAAAGATGAGCCTGAAAACTGACAGCTGACTTTGGCAATAGGGAGATCATTGGTAGCCTTTAGGAGAGCCGTTGTGGTGAAGTGGTTTGGGGCAGAAGTCTGGTGATGAGTAGGAGAGAGTGGGAGAAGAGGAATCGAAGACAGTGAGTCAGCTTGACCCTTGAGCATTGTTCCGCAATACAGGGAGCACAGTTAATAAGGAATGGCTGGAGAGAGAGCTCTAGCAACGCGCTGGGGAGTCACATGCCTTCCTGCCTTTCCGAGACACCCTTCCTCTGGAGTCTACCTGAAGAATTTCCACTTTTCCTTGAAGAGCTAATTTGACTATGTCTCTACTGAGCTTTCTCTACTGCCTTCACTCATTCACCAAAGCGGACTTACTGTGTGCCTGTTATGAAATAGGCACTGGTCGATGAACTCGTCAACGAATAATGAATATGCTAATAAGGACTCTGCCTCCCCAGAGATTATATTCCAATGGGGAGAGAGAGAAAACACAAGCAAACAAAACTGTAAAGCAATTGATCATTACTGATTATGGTAAGTGTTGTGCAGACCACACACTGGGTGATGTGAGAGAAAGTGAGATCTGGTGGTCATGGAGGCCTCTCTAGGGAGGTGACCACTACCCTGAAACCTGAAGGATACTGTTGTGCATTGAATGTCTGTGTCCCTCGAAGTTCATATGCTAAAGCCCTAATTCCCAATATGATCGTATTTGGAGGTAGGGCCTTTGGGAGGTGATTAGGTCAGGAGCATGGAGGCTTTAGGAATGGTATTAGTGCCCTTATCAGAAGAGACATGGGAGAGACGATCTCTTTCTTCACCAGGTGAGGACACAGCAATAAGACTTTTATCTGCAAACCAGGAAGTGGGCCCTCACCAGACACCGAACCTGCTGGCACCTAGAACTGGGACTTGCCAGCCCCTAGAACTGTGAGAAATAAACTTCTGTTGTGTAAGCCACCCAGTCTACGGTACGTTTGTTATAGCAAGCAGAATGGACTAAGGCAGATACAGAGGAGCCAGTCCCAGGAAGGGCCAGAGGAGTCTTCCTGGCAGAGGGCATTAACTCCAAGAGGAGAGGCCTAGGGTAGGGAGGAGTAGGGTGATAGAAGAAGAGGTCTTGTATGGCTGGAGTCGTGTGAGTTGGGGCTGGTGGTGTGAAAGGGTAAAAGGACCAGGTTATGGAGGCCCTAGGAGGCCTGGGCTCGGGGTGAGCGAGAGAGATGAAGGGCTTTGTTGAGCTGTGGCAGCAGAGATGCGGAGAAGCACCTGGGTGGAGTTAGCGTTTGGGGGTAAACCAGCTGATGGATTGGATGTGGTGAATGGAGAAAAGAATGGCTTTGGTGTGAGCACCTGGTAGATGTGGTACCCTTATCTAGAAGAGAAAGTTATCCAGAAGAGGGAGCGGGTGGGTGATGATACGGATGTGGGGAGAACTGATTGGAAAACAAGAGAGTGGCATCCAGGAAGGCTGAAAAGTGTTTCAAGAAGTTGGAAACAGGCGGGGAAAGTGCTGCTGGGAGATGGGATGGGGACTGAGGAATCATTAGTTGTAGCACTAACTCCTTCGCAGCCCTCAGTTTGTCTGACAGTGATTCTTTCCGGCCTTTCTCCTCCATTATTTGACAGATTGTTACAGATTTGAGGCCTACTTTTATAAATATAAATTCACGTTTGTATCCCCGGGCTCAGCAGAGTGTCTTGAAAACAGAATAGGTTGCATGGAGAGTTCCAGATTGAAAATAACCCTGGGAAGGAAACACCCCAAGGTGCTATCGCTAAGAGATCAGCTGCCAGATGCCAGAGGGAGCTGGGAGGGCCCCGCACTACTCCCTGGTGTGTAACAGGTTCCACTCAGTGCCTTATAGGCTGAAAAGTGTCCTGTCTTCTCAGAGCTAGAAAGGGTGTTCATGATAAGGCAGGGTGGGGACCTGACTCACTGACACCCAATTAGCTGGCTTTTGTCTTTGGATCTGCCTGGAAGTGACTCGTAGGCTGGGAAAAAGAACCTTTTGGAAACAAATGCGGGGAGGTGGGGGAGGGGTGTTAAGTCACTACAGCGTTTTATTTTCAGATAAAATGTGGATCTGCTGTTCCATAAATGTTGAATACTGTACATTTCTTCAGCCTCTCTCCAACAAAAACCCAGGGGGAATTATTAAGCTTGACAATTCACTCATTTTCTCCAAGATTTTTATTAAATGCAATTTAGAGGGGATAAAGTTTCTTCTCTTTCCTCTTTTTATTCACTTGAATAAACCCTGAATACCACCAGGGCAGAATAAAAGGGCATCCAGACTGCAGCAATAGGTCATGCTTCCTCTTTAAATGAACCAGTTGAAGGCTCCCCTTCTAGGAGCCACTAAGGCACTTCCTGTCCACTCACCTTGCTCAATTCAATCTGAAGAGCATTTATGGAGCACCTAGCTGTAGGGCACCGACACACACTGTTGGGGTGAAAGACAGTTCTGCCCTCCGGGGGCTTATGGTACAGGTAGGGAGCTAGTCTTGAACTCAACTAAGATACTGTATAAGGTACACGGATAAATGCTATACTGGTGTATTATTAGGACTTACTTGGTTGCAAATAATAAACATGCAAACTAAATTAAATAATAAGAGGAATTTGTTGTAAAAATTCTGGTTGTCACAAGGAATTTGGGGCAGGCGGGACTGTATCAGGGACACAGGAAGTAGCATTGACAGCAGCAGACCTCTCTTGGCCTCTCAGTTCTGCTCTCCCAGCCTGTCTCTACGTCTGAACCTCCACATCTTCTTCAGATTGGCCTTTCCTCCACAGGGATGGGAAACGTGGTCCTAGAGGACGTTCCCAACTGTATAACATCTTGCAGCTTTAGCGCTGTGGAGAAACTGACTCTTTCACTTCCAGTTTCAGAATTCTCCAAGAAGGCATCTGACTGGACTGAAATGTGTCAGCTCTTCACTTCTGGACCGCCCTTCCACTCCAAGCCCGCCCCCAGGTCCCCACTTAGTTCAGAGGCACAATCCCCACCCCAACCCGTCAGTAAAGTGGTTCTCAGCCCCGTGGGGGCGGGTGGGGGCGGATGGGCGTGTGTCCAGAGAGGCAGCGGCCCCCACAGAGCCGGGAGGGTAGGGGGAACAGTGGGGCCTGCACTTCTGCGGACCATGCTTTCAGAAACCACCAGACTCTGGCCTGTCAGGTGACACTACTAATGAGGGCAAAGGACTGGACTATTGAAGACAGCCATCCCTTACAAAATCCGGCTTTCATTTAATCCTCACAACAGTGACTGTGGGGATTACTGCTACCCCTTTTTCACAGATGAAGGGTACAGAGAAGTTAAGCACTTGGTCTACACTCGCACAGATCATGATTTGGAACCAGGCGGCAGCATAGTCTGTGTGCAGCTTGCCCAGCCCCGGGCTTCCACAAACACAACGGGGCAGGGTGGGGAGCGGCCTGAGCTCCAGGGAGGAGCAGCCCATCCCTGGGGGTTGGGGCGTTAGTTCTGCACTGGGCCTGGACTTCCTGGGAGGGTTTCCAGCAGGTCTAGGTAAAGGAGGATGAGATCTGCGCCAGAGGTCATTGGTCTGGGTGCCTAGTCCCAGAGGTGAGACCAGCAAAGCCGGGTGGACGAAAGAGGTGGAGTGGAAAGCCTCGAGGCCTGTAAGGAAGGCCCAGGCCCAGTGGGGAAGGCCACGCCCCAGCTTGGAGTGCTTCCCTCCAGATTCAGGCCTCTAAATGCAATTCCATTTAAGGGCAACCTTGCCCGGTTCACACCTCGCCTTGAAGATGACAGATCGCCCTGTGGTCAATTTGTGGGGTGAGAAGGGGAACCTACAACCCTGCACCTGCACTGCCACCGCCATAAAGGAAGCCAATCATGTCCAGTAAAACCTCACCGCCGCTGAGGTGCAGTTTCCCGGGTGGGGTGGGGGGGTCTCCTTCAGAGGGAAATACACCGTGGCCAGCGACCCCTGGATCTGCGAATTC